GCTTCTTTATTCTGTTCATACCGAATACTTGCAACAGATAATTCCAAGGGTAACGAATTTCTTAGAAGGTTTCCTTAATTAAATATACTCGTAGTCCATTAAGGTGCAAACAAACATGCAATAACACATCATTTGAAAACCCTTATTCGTCTACTATTCCGTCAGCCAAGAAAAAGGCTATATATATAAGCTCGAAACAGCAAAATCCGTACACTTATCTTAATAAAATAATATATTTTAGCCATGCTGACAAAATAAACATTCTTTACATCAGCACTCGATACATTACAGACATATTCGCTATTGGATACGCATTTAGTACTTAAACGAATTGTCACGGAAACGATAATCAGTACATCAAATACTTTTATACTGGTCATTCTTGCAGTTGAATCATTTACATTATATTAAATTTCGTTTTTGCCGTTACATTGCTTCCGAATGGACGTTAAAATTATTTGTACATTTTGACCTTGAATCATGACATTCGCAAAATTTGTTATATTCCTTCTTCATTATTTATCTCAAATAAAAAAATTAAAAGTTTATAACAAGGCGGTAATTTGCTTAAATTATATATAATCTAAAGAGAAGTGGTCCTTGTTTAAGCTATCTCGAGAGGTGCTTGATTCGGCGACTCCTTATGGGTACCTCCCTCTATTTCTTCTCTAACTTTTTTAAGAAGCTAAAACACTCGAATCTGAAAATTCTGAAATATCTGCTAAGGATGATATGAGTGCTCTAGACACAAGAAGCTATTTAGATAGAACCGTGGTGCCCGTCCTCTTGCAAGGCCTGAACGTCATAGCAAAAGAAAGGCGAGTAATCCTGTTGTATTTATTAAATTAGACCTCGAAACCCTATCGAAGCCCTTGCTCTCTTTCTGATGAAGCATAAAGAAGATCCCGAGCCCAGCTAAACTAATATTTGCTCTTAGGCGTGTTTATATATTTGATACATTTTCCAGCTGCTTCCGTTTTTTATGGCTCCAAAACAATGTATTATTTAATTGTCTCCTAATCAATCACCCTCGCGGATGGGCTGTCCCATTAAGCTTCATTGCTTCGTGATTTTCACAATTACTTGACCTTTTTCGCCCGCAATCGGATGAAATCAACTGTGGCTTTTGCCTTAGTACTTTTCCATCCATATTATTTCACAAGTAAGAGGGTAGCACTGAATTAATTTATTGTACCAACAATATTTCGTAGCGCCTCCTTGATCAGGCATCTACTCTCGAGGTCCGAGAGTGCGTCTATCTTGTGCATATCATGAAATGCTTGGGAGAGCTTTTCGCCCCCATCAGCGTTAGGTCGGCCTATGAATATGATTATTTGTACTCTTCTTTCATTAAATAGGCCTGTAGGGATGTCAATAGTAGCGTAATGTTCTGGTTTCTTATTAGTGTTGGTTATTTTACTCATAAGAGTGGAAATCCGTTTGTCCTGCTCTTCTTGCGTGTACGACTTGGGATGTTGAAGGACGAATATTAAGTATCCTAAAATAAATAGTAGAATTTTATTCAGAGCATTTAACTGTTATGTTGTAATCTATGGCACCTACCGTTTTCAGCCAGCAAGCAAGAGATCATGGCGCCCATCTTATTAAGATTTTCGCCGGAAGTCGTCGCTAGATAAGATTCCTTCGTCGGTGTAAGTGGATCAAACACAATGATGTCGAAGCTCCTGAAATCTCCTGGATAAAAGTTAAAATCAGACTGCCGATCATACGTACACGAGGAGAGTTAGTACGTACTATACTTAGATGCTTTTCGCCATTTGGAAACAACAATGCCAGACTATCTTTATAGCACGGTGGGGGATGCGTTGCAGCCTGCCTTACGGTGTACATATCAATTGAACCAGCAGATGTGTTTGGGCTAGTGTTTGTGTCGATCTAACGAATAAGTGTGCACAGATGTCTCAGAGTAATGTATGAAAGCTGATTATTCGGGCGCGTTTCATTTTGTTTGGAGAGGCGGATGAAATAATTTGTAAGTTAGTTGCACCAGAAGCCGAAGGGTGGTTGCTATGGCGGTAAGGCTGGACTTGTCTGGATAGGCGTTTGGCTTGACGTCACCTCACCCCGATGAATCCTTCTCGAGGATTTATCCGTCACGTTGCAAATGACGCTGCTTTGACATTTACCAAGCGCGAACACAGGAAATGTAACCGGCCGCAGTCCTACTTCCTTTGTACATCTTATGATTTGGTTTCATGTGCCTGCCGAAAAGTAGGGGCTGGGTGCAATTTTGACTGGTCAGTTATATCCTTGCCAAAACCGCATACATCTTTAAGTCATCGAGGTAGCTGCATGTGTTTTGCGTGCATCCATTGCTTGAGACTCTTGAGATGTCAAAATGAGAGTAGGATGTAAAACTAATCAAGTCTGTCACTCTGAACTATGTTTTGTTCCTCTCCTTACCAATCCTATTCAGTGACCATAAGCAATTTCCACCAATTACCTACACTCATTCTTCCCATTCAATGTCGACTTTTGTTGATTTCTCTGGATACACTAGTCTTCGCTTATTAATATAGCAATATCCAGTTAAGCAGTTGGTTCTATACCAATCTCCCCAATGGTTTATAAGAGCTGTGTCCGGCCAGTTCTTGCTTTGTACGCAATTCTTTGCAGGATAACCTCATGCCTATAGGTCGGCACGTGTCTTATACGTCGATGCTACCACATAAACACTAAACCTTATGACAGCCCGATTCGGATAGCCAGCTCAAAATTGCCTTAAGATGGCATTACCGGGGAAAGTATTATTTCCTCTATAATTTGTTATAATTTCCTATTTGTTTAATATTTTACCTACTTTTTCGTGGCCGATGGCGATAACATCCGGACCCTAGAAAAGTGGTCCGGCTACCTGTCTTATTTGACGAGTCATCGCTCTCATTAAATTTTTCATAATCACCTTGAATCCTGGTCCTGATGATTAGTATTTCAAGACGCGTGCCCCTTATTAACATGAATTTCATAAAAGGCACAATACGATGTTGGTTCAAACTCATTTTCGCAAGTTGATCGGAGCGATAGTGAGACCCTGCGGAACGAACCTAGTTCTTGATCTTTTATCAGTATTTATTATGACTTTCAGCGTCAGACTGCTTATTTGGTACGTTCCCAGACATTTCGCCAGCAGTGTCAGTGAGGCTCCAAATGTTTGGAAATGTGCCAAGCCAACGGTCAAATGCTGGAAATGATGAATCTCATGGCAGAGGACGTGGAACTAGGATTGTTCAACAAGGTTTCCCTGTAGCTCCAACCAAGTTGCAAAACGAGATCAAAGGTCACCATCTAGGTCTTCATACCCTCAAGCATAGTTCGAAAAGAGACTCAAAAGAAAACTAAATTTATCACTTTCATATGTGCATTTTCATCTTATCTGTTTCCTTTGCTAGCTAGAATATCTGATAAGAGTAAACTATCATCCCTTCCTAAATTCATGGTTGATTTGGTCTTCATATCTATTCTATTTATTAACATTAGTAAGTCTTCTGGTTTCTTCGCCGCGCTGCCAAACGACAGAATAGTCATCCACATATATAAGCAATAATCTATGAACTAAAAATTATTCATCTACCATGCAAATTTTTCACAAAGTCATATACTTATTTGCTAACATTAGCGGCAAACACGACTCCATAGATAAGCCTCATACTTGCTCTTACAATTCACCATTCAAACCGAAACTCGTCAACATTGTTGACTCCTTAAATGAGTCTGAACCTGTCTGAGTATCTGGGTGTTGGTCCTATGTTATTTTTAGAACCTGTGTTGTTCCCCTTACAAGTATTTTAGAGCACATTGACTCAATATCATACTAAAATCGAATGACCACTTTCTAACCTCTGTTTATAGTCTAACTAAATGGATTCATAAGGCTTCCTTATTGAAAACTGCCAAGACTTGAATATTTCTTTTATGCTATGATGTCTATATCGTGATGTTTTATGCATAACGCTACGCCTATTATTTACAATATTTCTGAGTGGGACTTCTTCCTCATGAATCTTGGGCAGCCACTTAACATGTCATCTGCGGCCACTTTGCTTCCAACAAGTATGATGGAAAAGCATAGCATATCAAGCCAAATCATAAGATGTCTAACTAAATGTACAAAGTTAGGCTATACGAAATGGGTAGGCTTGCAGTCAGCAGTCCTTCTTGCCTTCGCGTTTGAGGAATTATCGTAAAGCAATGTCATGCTCTAGCGATGTCTGTCAGATGAGACGAAAGCTCAGCAAGGATTCATCTGGGTTACGGGCGGAAAGGCGGGGACTTATTCGCATTATTCTGCAGTCACAGCTCAAAGCCATCGTTCTTCGGCTTTCGGTGAGACCGACTCACAAATCCTTTCCACTCACCTCTTTAAACAAAATTAAAGATGGAAGTTGTCTGAGCTTTTTTTCATAACTTGATCATATTGGTAGGAAGACCTAAAAGAACGCATCTAGTCCGGAGTCCATAGTATACATGATATTTTCCTGAGTAGGGCCGTGAACGTGGTACATTCCCAGAAATTGTGCCGGCATCGTCAGTCAGCCTTGTCATTCTCAGCATCACACTACAACTCGCCAAAGAGAAGAGTGAAGCCGATCCTTTTACCAATTGTCTGCTAAACAGTTGACATCTGCTCTGAGCTATTTACCAATAAGATATCCTCGTATCACTCTTTTACTATCACAATGTAGCATTATGTGCCCTTTTTAGCGGATTTCATGATAACTCTACAAACCCCATATTGGCTTTCTCACCCTCAATCCTCTTCACATAGGACTTATCAGAGCCCCCCTCTTGCTCTGTATGATCCACCTCCTACCTTCCTAGTTCATGTATTTCACTCGGCCCCTGCTACCCTATCTGTACTACTCAAAACATTATTTCCTACATTGTCTCAATCCTTTGATTGCACGCATATTCCAGCCTCGCTGAGTAGGCCTACAAAGTCTGGAATCTCAAGCTGGATGGGAGCCTAATTTGAGGCAAAAGAGCCCGAGTAAATCTCATGGTCGAGTCTTTACTTCATGGACCACGTCTATAGTCAAATACGTGTATTGTTAGCCAACTATCTTTAGTTTCCACCGCATCTATCCTTTTTATATTCATAGTGTCAAGTCTATGACTGCCTATGCCCTAGTCTCTTGTGTGCCAGCCCACAAATGTTGTGGTTCTACATTGAACCTATTCAAAACAAATAGAATCACAGCATTTGCGGATTGGCACACAAGAGACAAGGGCATAGGAAGTCATATACTTGGCACTATCAATAGAAATAGGATAGATTCGGTG